AGTCCTCACTCTTCCATCAGCTGGTACATTTAGTAAACATCAGCCATCAGGAAGTTCATGAAAGCCAACATGGTGCATGCTTGTCTTCCGAGCACTTCGTAGAGCACTGATAAGAGTTAGTGAACTCACAGGAGTGCGAGGAAGCAGACCATCCACCTGAACTTCAAAACAGGATACAGAGAGTGGTCTCATTCTTCCACCCCCAATAAGTACATGGATGTTTGCTTAAACAAAAACACAGTGCATTGACTCCAGCAGGGCACAATCTCACCTCTGAGAGCAATAGGTAGAGAAAGGAGACACTGGGGGTACATAGAGCTGTGGGGAGCTGTGCAGTGGAGCATAGTCAGATACCACACCAAGACAGACCGCTAATCTGTGTCAACACTCTTGTCTGTCCAAGAAACAAGAAATATTCTTGAGTGGAGGGTGGGACTGAAAATCAGTGTGACAAACTGATGTCTGCTTAATGCACAGAAGTACCATAGTAAAAGTTTTTGCATAGGAGAGGCAATGAGAGCAACATTTAGTGTAGTCAGTAGATTTGCCTTCACCTTGCAGAATACCAACAATGAAAAACCAAAGAAGCCATGCTCTTAGAATTGTGACCTGTGGTGTGTGAGTTCATGTTTATGTCTCAGCTTTCTTTTACTTAGTAGAATGTGAGGGCAATGTGCCTGCTCAGCACACACAGTCTTCTGAAGATCAATGATGTCATGTCCACACATTATTCCCCAGTCCCTGGCACCATAGAGTCACATGCACATATCACCTTTGGTTCTGTTTCACCAAACTCATGCTAAGCATGAGGGGTGAGATCTTTATGATCATTTCTTCTTCAAACACAGAACATTCTTATGACTGAGGATATTAGTGTCATTTCATGTGACAGCTCTGCCACCTTGTTATTTATTACGCCTACCCAATTACATTGAACAACCCAGGGACTGTGCTGAGCCTCGTTGACCCCAGATAGTGCCCAGTCCTTTGGCGACTGTGTAGCTACAGAGAAGGCTAACCACTTTCTTATCCTAATCAGTAGACTAGAGGATTAAGAGAGGATAATTCTGGGATCTGGCACACACAGTAATAAGCCTGTGGCTGAATGCCTGTGTTTAGATAGTGCACTCCACACACTCACAAATTCAGACATCATGCTTTCCTTCCAGGTTTTCCCATAAACTCTGGGCCATGTGGCACAAGCTTATGAACTACTCTTGAAATGCCTTCTTTGTGATACCACCAACGTTCTTCCTCATGTCTTTGAATAGTAAGGAAAAGCATGTGTATGAGTTGCCAGAAATCATTCTAACACATGTCTTTGTCAAGTTCCTTAAGGTCAGCACAGGACAGAAGCATGAACAGGAGGACAGGAGTAGTGAGGGGTCAGTCACAGGAAAGGAGATGGGAACAGCAAACTCTCATGTTAAAAATTTGTGGTTCTCCACAAATGCTTCCTCTTCCAGGTCTTTTCTTTGGACGTCAGCTGCCACCTTTATAAGATCATCCTTCATTTCTATATATGTTTCCAGGGAACTTTCTTGCTGCCCTCAACAGTCATGCCCGCATGAATTAAAATATTTGGAAACATTCCTGGGGTAAAAGAGTAACATCTCTGTAATTTCTAATGGTGCCCCTTTTCTGAGAGAGAAAATAGAAGATGGGGAACATCAAAAGCTATCCCTCCTATCCTGCCATCTGGTCATTCTAGCTGTCAATAACACTAACAAATATTGTGTGTGTGTGTGTGTGTGTGTGTGTGTGTGTGTGTGTGTGTGAGTGAGTGTGTGTGAATGTGTCTGAGAGACAAAGCTTTCACTAAAGAAATTAGACTAAAGTAAACACTACATGTGGTGATTCAGCACAGTTAATTTAGTGAACATACCATAACCAGCCTAGGATCCCGTATGATAGCAGTAAAAGGATTGAATAGGAGGCATTGGGTAGCATTCCACATAAGGAATCTTACAAACAGCATGTCTATTGAGACTACCTCTAGAAGAATCTACTTTAAGAGGTTGTGCATATATCAAAGATTTGTGCAGAAGCATAAACATAGCAATTTCCACACAGACTAATTCTGATATCACCAAGGCAATTAGGGAGCACCCCAGCTTGGAGGAAACTCTACTCATGCCTTCCACATTGTAAACCCAGCTATAATCAAAAGGGTTTGTGATGGGGTGCCCTCAGTAATCTAATTAGTACGTATTATACTCAAGAATTGGATAGTATTTTGTGACAATGAGAAAGGAAAACTCAGTTCCTGCTAGAAAAGCATTCTAGTAACTTAGGCTGAGAAGAATCAGGAGTAAATAACCTCCATGAACCAGTGCATGGCACAAGCCTGCCTTGAAAGTTTTCTAGAGAATCAGCGAGTTTGAGAGCAGAGTACAATGAATTCAATCACCAAATTGCTAATAGTTTTGGCCTGTTCTCTGTGACCCCATTGCTAATGTAAAGAAAAAGTGAGACATGAACACTAGGGAGAAAAAAGTGAGGTTCTCTAGTTTAAAATAGAAAATGTGGTTCCAGTTCCACCCACACTCAGGGCAGAGGGCAGAGGTGAGTTGCAGATCCCCATCCTAGCCAAAAATTCCTCCAAATGTCCCTCGTTTTGATATCCGGGCTTGTGGACCACACCCAGGTCAACTATCCCCTGAACAGACGATCAAGTAACCAGGAGCCTACAGAGAGAGCCGGTCTACTTGTGAACATACTTAGGGCAGAGGACATAAGACAGAGAGCAGAGGCCAGGGAGTATTGGATTTGCTTTCATCCATTGAATGGAAACCCTGGTCACCCACCCACCAGGAGAAAAGAGGCTCTTTGTACACACACGGGAAGAATAGATGGGAAAAAAGAAATATATGAACACACTTAGCAACCAAAAAATAATACAACAGCAGAGATTTTTGACTAATGCCAGACAAGCAATAATCAACCCATACTTTAGAAACTTGAAAATAAAAGGAAGTAAATTATTGACCTGAGTTATTTTACAACTGTTTGCTGCAATATTTGTGGATTCCCCTTTTGGAGTCTTTCCTTTATAAACTATGTTTGCACATGTCCATATTCTGCATAAATTTTACAGAATGTACATGATCACGTGTGAGCAACAATGCATAGGTGTTTCAGCGCATATGCAGATGTGAGAAGACTTCCTGGAGAGCTGACCTTCCCTAGCCATTTTGTTCCAACAGAATCTGTGTGCCCTGTGTCGACAATGCTAGCTGACACACCAGATCTTCCCCTGTCTCCCTGTGCCATGTCACCTGAAGAGAACATGAAATGTAGAGGTAGCTAAGCACACCCAGTGTCAGGCGCTTTCTGGAGATTCCATCACAATTTCTAACACTGACAATGCTAGCACATCAGTCACAGTGTCATCGTCTCCCTGATCTACTTGAGGATTCCCTATGAATGTCTCCCTAATGCTGAAAACATGATCTCATACAATGAAAATTCTCTTGCCTTCACATCTCTCCACTATGTCAGATCCCTGAGAGTCCAACATTTAGAAAGTGACAATGCACAGCACATTGGCTGTTCATTCAGTATTATCTTAATGTGCTTCCTCTAATCTCCACATAGCACTGAAAAGACGAGGACATGAATACAACAAGTTTTGAAGAAAATGAAGTGGCTTAAACTAAGTTAAAGCCTATTTTTGCAAGATAGTCAGGGTGGCAGGAAGGAAAGGGAAAATGCGAATCACGTTAGGTTCTCTTACCACACCAAAGTGGATCCGGGGAACCAAAACTGAGGACATGGAAAGGGGGATGAATCTTGCTCTGTGCTGCTCAGTGCTCCAGACTTCATACACCTGGTCAGTAGTACCTCCTTGCTTTCCTTGTGAGCTGAAGTCTCAAGTGGCTGTGGCTGACCAGATGTAATGGAGTCCTGTTCACATGAGTCTTTCCAAGTCATGATCCTGTGTTGAATTACCTGGATTTTCTAAGACCTTAGTCTCCAGATAATGCTTGTCTGATGATGTGTTGGGGGTGATCTCTTCAACGGCTTCCTCTGGAGTGGTTCCAGCAATAGATTCTTCAACAATTTTTGATGCTGATGCAAATCTGGGGCCCACATCTCCACTACTTTATCAACTCCATCCTCCAGTCTATCCACAACAGAGCTCTATTTCACAAAGTCCAGGGAGTTTTTGATTGTATTCCTTACGTCTTACCAGAGGGCCTTGATTTCTGTCTCTTCCACTTCTCTTTTTTTCTATAGAGAAATTAGATTAGTCTTATACCTCAAACCTCAGGAGAAAAAGAATTGTCAGCAAAGAGATGAATGAAGTAGAGATGTATTCAGGTCTATCATCTCATCATAGTCTCTACACTCTCTGTCATAACCCTTGTACTATAAAAAAAATCCCTTTCTCGGTTGCTGTATAGGTATCTTAAGTAACAATTCTTTATCAATATTCTGAGTCCCTCTGTGCACCGTATGTCTATGCATGGGTGTGTCTGTGTTCTTTTGTGTGTGTTTAAGTGATTTTCGAGCACATGTATTGAACACAGATTCCACAGAAACCACACAACACAGACACCGGTCACAGGCTGACTAGATGACACACAAACATTCTGTCTTCATGGTCACACACTGACCTTATCTGACAGGACACCTGCATATTCCTTGTTGTATAGTCTCAGCAGTTTGCTCTTCAGCGTCTCAGCAATATCAAAGACGCCATTTATAGTCTATAACACAAAACTGAAAAGAAGAATTAGAACGGTCTGAAAGTCAGAAAAGAGTGAGAGAAAACAAGTGGGGAGAGGCACTAATATCTTACACATGACTTGAACTTCCTTACATGCTCTCACTTTCCACTGTTCAGTGTTGCTGAGGCAACCTCAGCTCTCCACCCACTTAGGGTCAGGATCTCTGACTTTTCTCTGAGTAGCTCCCTGTTTCTTCAGTGATTTCAGGTTAGCCATATAGACAATGAAGACTCACAACATTGATTTTGCATCTTGTTGCCTTGGAAATGGAGTTGGGCTATTGGCGGCCTTTTCTGAGTTTCTCCACAAAGAGTCTAAAGGAATAAAGCAGAGTGACCATGGTGTGTCGAGATGTTCCAAATGTATAAGTGATACCCTGAAGAAATTAGGGCTCTCTATACATTTTCAGAATGTCTTGGAGAGAGAAGCGGCAAATCCTGAAGTCCCACATCCTTTTCCCTCCCAGGGTCTGGAGAGAGAATAGTCCTCACTCTTCCATCAGCTGGTACATTTAGTAAACATCAGCCATCAGGAAGTTCATGAAAGCCAACATGGTGCATGCTTGTCTTCCGAGCACTTCGTAGAGCACTGATAAGAGTTAGTGAACTCACAGGAGTGCGAGGAAGCAGACCATCCACCTGAACTTCAAAACAGGATACAGAGAGTGGTCTCATTCTTCCACCCCCAATAAGTACATGGATGTTTGCTTAAACAAAAACACAGTGCATTGACTCCAGCAGGGCACAATCTCACCTCTGAGAGCAATAGGTAGAGAAAGGAGACACTGGGGGTACATAGAGCTGTGGGGAGCTGTGCAGTGGAGCATAGTCAGATACCACACCAAGACAGACCGCTAATCTGTGTCAACACTCTTGTCTGTCCAAGAAACAAGAAATATTCTTGAGTGGAGGGTGGGACTGAAAATCAGTGTGACAAACTGATGTCTGCTTAATGCACAGAAGTACCATAGTAAAAGTTTTTGCATAGGAGAGGCAATGCGAGCAACATTTAGTGTAGTCAGTAGATTTGCCTTCACCTTGCAGAATACCAACAATGAAAAACCAAAGAAGCCATGCTCTTAGAATTGTGACCTGTGGTGTGTGAGTTCATGTTTATGTCTCAGCTTTCTTTTACTTAGTAGAATGTGAGGGCAATGTGCCTGCTCAGCACACACAGTCTTCTGAAGATCAATGATGTCATGTCCACACATTATTCCCCAGTGCCTGGCACCATAGAGTCACATGCACATATCCACCTTTGGTTCTGTTTCACCATGCTAAGCATGAGGGGTGAGATCTTTATGATCATTTCTTCTTCAAACACAGAACATTCTTATGACTGAGGATATTAGTGTCATTTCATGTGACAGCTCTGCCACCTTGTTATTTATTCTGCCTACCCAATTACATTGAGCAGCCCAGGGACTGTGCTGAGCCACGTTGACCCCAGATAGTGCCCAGTCCTTTGGCGACTGTGTAGCTACAGAGAAGGCTAACCACTTTCTTATCCTAATCAGTAGACTAGAGGATTAAGAGAGGATAATTCTGGGATCTGGCACACACAGTAATAAGCCTGTGGCTGAATGCCTGTGTTTAGATAGTGCACTCCACACACTCACAAATTCAGACATCATGCTTTCCTTCCAGGTTTTCCCATAAACTCTGGGCCATGTGGCACAAGCTTATGAACTACTCTTGAAATGCCTTCTTTGTGATACCACCAACGTTCTTCCTCATGTCTTTGAATAGTAAGGAAAAGCATGTGTATGAGTTGCCAGAAATCATTCTAACACATGTCTTTGTCAAGTTCCTTAAGGTCAGCACAGGACAGAAGCATGAACAGGAGGACAGGAGTAGTGAGGGGTCAGTCACAGGAAAGGAGATGGGAACAGCAAACTCTCATGTTAAAAATTTGTGGTTCTCCACAAATGCTTCCTCTTCCAGGTCTTTTCTTTGGACGTCAGCTGCCACCTTTATAAGATCATCCTTCATTTCTATATATGTTTCCAGGGAACTTTCTTGCTGCCCTCAACAGTCATGCCCGCATGAATTAAAATATTTGGAAACATTCCTGGGGTAAAAGAGTAACATCTCTGTAATTTCTAATGGTGCCCCTTTTCTGAGAGAGAAAATAGAAGATGGGGAACATCAAAAGCTATCCCTCCTATCCTGCCATCTGGTCATTCTAGCTGTCAATAACACTAACAAATATTGTGTGTGTGTGTGTGTGTGTGTGTGTGTGTGTGTGTGTGTGTGTGTGAGTGAGTGTGTGTGAATGTGTCTGAGAGACAAAGCTTTCACTAAAGAAATTAGACTAAAGTAAACACTACATGTGGTGATTCAGCACAGTCAATTTAGTGAACCTACCATAACCAGCCTAGGATCCCGTATGATAGCAGTAAAAGGATTGAATAGGAGGCATTGGGTAGCATTCCACATAAGGAATCTTACAAACAGCATGTCTATTGAGACTACCTCTAGAAGAATCTACTTTAAGAGGTTGTGCATATATCAAAGATTTGTGCAGAAGCATAAACATAGCAATTTCCACACAGACTAATTCTGATATCACCAAGGCAATTAGGGAGCACCCCAGCTTGGAGGAAACTCTACTCATGCCTTCCACATTGTAAACCCAGCTATAATCAAAAGGGTTTGTGATGGGGTGCCCTCAGTAATCTAATTAGTACGTATTATACTCAAGAATTGGATAGTATTTTGTGACAATGAGAAAGGAAAACTCAGTTCCTGCTAGAAAAGCATTCTAGTAACTTAGGCTGAGAAGAATCAGGAGTAAATAACCTCCATGAACCAGTGCATGGCACAAGCCTGCCTTGAAAGTTTTCTAGAGAATCAGCGAGTTTGAGAGCAGAGTACAATGAATTCAATCACCAAATTGCTAATAGTTTTGGCCTGTTCTCTGTGACCCCATTGCTAATGTAAAGAAAAAGTGAGACATGAACACTAGGGAGAAAAAAGTGAGGTTCTCTAGTTTAAAATAGAAAATGTGGTTCCAGTTCCACCCACACTCAGGGCAGAGGGCAGAGGTGAGTTGCAGATCCCCATCCTAGCCAAAAATTCCTCCAAATGTCCCTCGTTTTGATATCCGGGCTTGTGGACCACACCCAGGTCAACTATCCCCTGAACAGACGATCAAGTAACCAGGAGCCTACAGAGAGAGCCGGTCTACTCGTGAACATACTTAGGGCAGAGGACATAAGACAGAGAGCAGAGGCCAGGGAGTATTGGATTTGCTTTCATCCATTGAATGGAAACCCTGGTCACCCACCCACCAGGAGAAAAGAGGCTCTTTGTACACACACGGGAAGAATAGATGGGAAAAAGAAATATATGAACACACTTAGCAACCAAAAAATAATACAACAGCAGAGATTTTTGACTAATGCCAGACAAGCAATAATCAACCCATACTTTAGAAACTTGAAAATAAAAGGAAGTAAATTATTGACCTGAGTTATTTTACAACTGTTTGCTGCAATATTTGTGGATTCCCCTTTTGGAGTCTTTCCTTTATAAACTATGTTTGCACATGTCCATATTCTGCATAAATTTTACAGAATGTACATGATCACGTGTGAGCAACAATGCATAGGTGTTTCAGCGCATATGCAGATGTGAGAAGACTTCCTGGAGAGCTGACCTTCCCTAGCCATTTTGTTCCAACAGAATCTGTGTGCCCTGTGTCGACAATGCTAGCTGACACACCAGATCTTCCCCTGTCTCCCTGTGCCATGTCACCTGAAGAGAACATGAAATGTAGAGGTAGCTAACCAGACCCAGTGTCAGGTGCTTTCTAGAGATTCCATCCCAGTTTCTGACATTGCCACTGCGATCACTTCAGTCACAGTGTCAGTCACAGTGTCATTATCTCCCTGATCTACTTGAAGATTTCCTATGAATATCTCCCTAATACTGAAAAGACGAGGACATGAATACAACAAGTTTTGAAGAAAATGAAGTGGCTTAAACTAAGTTAAAGCCTATTTTTGCAAGACAGTCAGGGTGCCAGGAATGAAAGGGAAAATGCAAATCTCCTTAGGTTCTCTTACCACACAAAGGTGGATCCGGGGAAACAAAACTGAGGACATGGAAAGGGGGATGAATCTTGCTCTGTGCTGCTCAGTGCTCCAGACTTCATACACCTGGTCAGTAGTACCTCCTTGCTTTCCTTGTGAGCTGAAGTCTCAAGTGGCTGTGGCTGACCAGATGTAATGGAGTCCTGTTCACATGAGTCTTTCCAAGTCATGATCCTGTGTTGAATTACCTGGATTTTCTAAGACCTTAGTCTCCAGATAATGCTTGTCTGATGATGTGTTGGGGGTGATCTCTTCAACGGCTTCCTCTGGAGTGGTTCCAGCAATATATCCTTCAACAATTTTTGATGCTGATGCAAATCTGGGGCCCACATCTCCACTACTTTATCAACTCCATCCACCAGTCTATCCACAACAGAGCTCTATTTCACAAAGTCCAGGGAGTTTTTGATTGTATTCCTTACGTCTTACCAGAGGGCCTTGATTTCTGTCTCTTCCACTTCTCTTTTTTTCTATAGAGAAATTAGATTAGTCTTATACCTCAAACCTCAGGAGAAAAAGAATTGTCAGCAAAGAGATGAATGAAGTAGAGATGTATTCAGGTCTATCATCTCATCATAGTCTCCACACTCTCTGTCATAACCCTTGTACTATAAAAAAATCCCTTTCTCGGTTGCTGTATAGGTATCTTAAGTAACAATTCTTTATCAATATTCTGAGTCCCTCTGTGCACCGTATGTCTATGCATGGGTGTGTCTGTGTTCTTTTGTGTGTGTTTAAGTGATTTTCGAGCACATGTATTGAACACAGATTCCACAGAAACCACACAACACAGACACCGGTCACAGGCTGACTAGATGACACACAAACATTCTGTCTTCATGGTCACACACTGACCTTATCTGACAGGAAACCTGCATGTTCCTTGTTGTATTGTCTCAGCAGTTTGCTCTTCAGCGTCTCAGCAATATCAAAGACGCCATTTATAGTCTATAACACAAAACTGAAAAGAAGAATTAGAACGGTCTGAAAGTCAGAAAAGAGTGAGAGAAAACAAGTGGGGAGAGGCACTAATATCTTACATATGACTTGAACTTCCTTACATGCTCTCACTTTCCACTGTTCAGTGTTGCTGAGGCAACCTCAGCTCTCCACCCACTTAGGGTCAGGATCTCTGACTTTTCTCTGAGTAGCTCCCTGTTTCTTCAATGATTTCAGGTTAGCCATATGGACAATGAAGACTCACAACATTGATTTTGCATCTTGTTGCCTTGGAAATGGAGTTGGGCTATTGGCGGCCTTTTCTGAGTTTCTCCACAAAGAGTCTAAAGGAATAAAGCAGAGTGACCATGGTGTGTCGAGATGTTCCAAATGTATAAGTGATACCCTGAAGAAATTAGGGCTCTCTATACATTTTCAGAATGTCTTGGAGAGAGAAGCGGCAAATCCTGAAGTCCCACATCCTTTTCCCTCCCAGGGTCTGGAGAGAGAATAGTCCTCACTCTTCCATCAGCTGGTACATTAATAAACATCAGCCATCAGGAAGTTCATGAAAGCCAACATGGTGCATGCTGGTCTTCCGAGCACTTCGTAGAGCACTGATAAGAGTTAGTGAACTCACAGGAGTGCGAGGAAGCAGACCATCCACCTGAACTTCAAAACAGGATACAGAGAGTGGTCTCATTCTTCCAACCCCAATAAGTACATGGATGTTTGCTTAAACAAAAACACAGTGCATTGACTCCAGCAGGGCACAATCTCACCTCTGAGAGCAATAGGTAGAGAAAGGAGACACTGGGGGTACATAGAGCTGTGGGGAGCTGTGCAGTGGAGCATAGTCAGATACCACACCAAGACAGACCGCTAATCTGTGTCAACACTCTTGTCTGTCCAAGAAACAAGAAATATTCTTGAGTGGAGGGTGGGACTGAAAATCAGTGTGACAAACTGATGTCTGCTTAATGCACAGAAGTACCATAGTAAAAGTTTTTGCATAGGAGAGGCAATGAGAGCAACATTTAGTGTAGTCAGTAGATTTGCCTTCACCTTGCAGAATACCAACAATGAAAAACCAAAGAAGCCATGCTCTTAGAATTGTGACCTGTGGTGTGTGAGTTCATGTTTATGTCTCAGCTTTCTTTTACTTAGTAGAATGTGAGGGCAATGTGCCTGCTCAGCACACACAGTCTTCTGAAGATCAATGATGTCATGTCCACACATTATTCCCCAGTGCCTGGCACCATAGAGTCACATGCACATATCACCTTTGGTTCTGTTTCACCATACTCATGCTAAGCATGAGGGGTGAGACCTTTATGATCATTTCTTCTTCAAACACAGAACATTCTTATGACTGAGGATATTAGTGTCATTTCATGTGACAGCTCTGCCACCTTGTTATTTATTCTGCCTACCCAATTACATTGAGCAGCCCAGGGACTGTGCTGAGCCACGTTGACCCCAGATAGTGCCCAGTCCTTTGGCGACTATGTAGCTACAGAGAAGGCTAACCACTTTCTTATCCTAATCAGTAGACTAGAGGATTAAGAGAGGATAATTCTGGGATCTGGCACACACAGTAATAAGCCTGTGGCTGAATGCCTGTGTTTAGATAGTGCACTCCACACACTCACAAATTCAGACATCATGCTTTCCTTCCAGGTTTTCCCATAAACTCTGGGCCATGTGGCACAAGCTTATGAACTACTCTTGAAATGCCTTCTTTGTGATACCACTAACGTTCTTCCTCATGTCTTTGAATAGTAAGGAAAAGCATGTGTATGAGTTGCCAGAAATCATTCTAACACATGTCTTTGTCAAGTTCCTTAAGGTCAGCACAGGACAGAAGCATGAACAGGAGGACAGGAGTAGTGAGGGGTCAGTCACAGGAAAGGAGATGGGAACAGCAAACTCTCATGTTAAAAATTTGTGGTTCTCCACAAATGTTTCCTCTTCCAGGTCTTTTCTTTGGACTTCACTGCCACCTTCATAAGATCATCCTTCATTTCTACATATGTTTCCAGGGAACTTTCTTGCTGCCCTCAACAGTCATGCCCACATGAATTAAAATATTTGGAAACATTCCTGGGGTAAAAGAGTAACATCTCTGTAATTTCTAATGGTGCCCCTTTTCTGAGAGAGAAAATAGAAGATGGGGAACATCAAAACCTATCCCTCCTATCCTGCCATCTGGTCATTCTAGCTGTCAATAACACTAACAAATATTGTGTGTGTGTGTGTGTGTGTGTGAGTGTGTGTGTGTGTGTGTGTGTGTGAATGTGTCTGAGAGACAAAGCTTTCACTAAAGAAATTAGACTAATGTAAACACTACATGTGGTGATTCAGCACAGTCAATTTAGTGAACCTTCCAAACCAGCCTAGGATCCCTTACGATAGCAGTAAAAGGATTGAATAGGAGGCATTGGGTAGCATTCCACATAAGGAACATATCTTACAAACAGCATGTCTATTGATACTACCTCTAGAAGAATCTACTATGAGTGGTTGTGCATATATCAAAGGATTGTGCATAAGCATAAACATAGCAATTTCCACACAGACTAATTCTGATATCACCAAGGTAATTAGAGAACACCCCAGCTTGGAGGAAACTCTATTCATGCCTTTCACTTTGAAATCCCAGGTATAATCAAAAGGATTTGTGATGGGGTGCTCTCAGTAATGTAATTAGTACCTATTATACTCAAGTGTTATATAGTATTTGTGTGACAATGAGCAAGGATAACTCAGTTCCTGCTCGAAAAGGATTCTAGTACCTTAGGCTGAGTAGAAGCAGGATGAAATAACCTCCATGGACCAGAGCATGGCACAAGCCTGCCTTGAAAGTTTTCTAGAGAATCAGCGTGTTTGAAAGCAGAATACCATGAATTCAAACACCAAATTGCTCATAGTTTTGGCCTGTTCTCTGTGACCTCATTGCTAATGTAAAGAAAAATTGAGACATGAACACTAGGGAGAAAAAAGTGAGGGTCTCTATTTTAAAATAGAAAAATGTGGTTCCAATTCCACCCACACTCAGGTCAGAGGGGAGAGGTGAGTTCCAGATACCAATCCTAGCCAAAAATTCCTCCAAATATCCCTCATTTTTATCTCCGTGCTTGTGGACCACAGCCAGGTCAACACTCCCCTGAACAGATGATTAAGTAACCAGGAGCCTGCAGAGAGAGCCAGTCTACTCGTGCACACACTCAGGGCAGAGGACATAAGACAGAGAGCAGAGGCCGGGGTATTGGATTTGCTTTCATCCATTGAATGGAAACCCTGGTCACCCATCCTCCAGGAGAGAAGAGGCTCTTTGTACACACACTGGAAGAATTGATGGGAAAAAGAAATATATGAACACACTCAGCAACCAAAATATAATACAACACCAGAGATCTTTGACTAATGCCAGACAAGCAATAATCAACCCATACTTTAGAAACTTGAAAATAAAAGGAAGTAAATTATTGACAACTGTGTGCTGCCATATTTGTGGATTTCCCTTTTGGAATCTTTCATTTATAAACTATGTTTGCACGTGTCCATGTATTGCATATATTTTACAAAATGTACATGATCACGTGTGAGCAACAATGCATAGGTGTTTCAGCGCATATGCAGATGTGAGAAGACTTCCTGGAGAGCTGACCTTCCCTAGCCATTTTGTTCCAACAGAATCTGTGTGCCCTGTGTCGACAATGCTAGCTGACACACCAGATCTTCCCCTGTCTCCCTGTGCCATGTCACCTGAAGAGAACATGAAATGTAGAGGTAGCTAAGCACACCCAGTGTCAGGCGCTTTCTGGAGATTCCATCACAATTTCTAACACTGACAATGCTAGCACATCAGTCACAGTGTCATCGTCTCCCTGATCTACTTGAGGATTCCCTATGAATGTCTCCCTAATGCTGAAAACATGATCTCATACAATGAAAATTCTCTTGCCTTCACATCTCTCCACTATGTCAGATCCCTGAGAGTCCAACATTTAGAAAGTGACAATGCACAGCACATTGGCTGTTCATTCAGTATTATCTTAATGTGCTTCCTCTAATCTCTACATAGCACTGAAAAGTCGAGGACATGAATCCAACATGTTTTGACGAAAATGAAGTGGCTTAAACTAAGTTAAAGCCTATTTTTGCAAGATAGTCAGGGTGGCAGGAAGGAAAGGGAAAATGCGAATCACGTTAGGTTCTCTTACCACACCAAAGTGGATCCGGGGAATCAAAACTGAGGACATGGAAAGGGGGATGAATCTTGCTCTGTGCTGCTCAGTGCTCCAGACTTCATACACCTGGTCAGTAGTACCTCCTTGCTTTCCTTGTGAGCTGCAGTCTCAAGTGTGTGTGGCTGACCAGATGTAATGGAGTCCACTTCACATGAGTCTTTCCAAGTCATGAACCTGTGGTGAATTACCTGGATTTTCTAAGATCTTAATCTCCAGACAATGCTTGTCTGATGATGTGTTGGGGGTGATCTCTTCAACGGCTTCCTGTGGAGTGGTTCCAGCTATAGATACTTCAACAATATTTGATGCTGATGCCAATCTCGGGCCCACATCTCCACTACTTTATCAACTCCATCCTCCAGTCTATCCACAACAGAGCTCTATTTCACAAAGTCTAGGGAGTTTTTGATTGTATTCCTTATGTCTTACCAGAGGGCCTTGATTTCTGTCTCTTCCACTTCTCTTTTTTTCTATAGAGAAATTAGATTAGTCTTATACCTCAAACCTCAGGAGAAAAAGAATTGTCAGCAAAGAGATGAATGAAGTAGAGATGTATTCAGGTCTATCATCTCATCATAGTCTCCACACTCTCTGTCATAACCCTGGTACTATGAAAAAAATCCCTTTCTCGGTTGCTGTATAGGTATCTTAAGTAACAATTCTTTATCAATATTCTGAGTCCCTCTGTGCACTGTATGTCTATGCATGGGTGTGTCTGTGTTCTTTTGTGTGTGTTTAAGTGATTTTCGAGCACATGTATTGAACACAGATTCCACAGAAACCACACAACACAGACACCGGTCACAGGCTGACTAGATGACACACAAACATTCTGTCTTCATGGTCACACACTGACCTTATCTGACAGGAAACCTGCATATTCCTTGTTGTATTGTCTCAGCAGTTTGCTCTTCAGCGTCTCAGCAATATCAAAGACTCTATTTATAGTCTGTAACAGCAAAACCAAAAAGAAGAATTAGAACAGTCCTTGTGTCAAAAAAGAGGGAGAGAAAACAAGTGGGGAGGGGCACTCATATCTTACACATGACTTGAACTTCCTTACATGCTATCACTTTCCACTGTTCTGTGATGCTGAGGCAGCATCAGCTCCCCACCCACCGAGGGTCAGGATCTCTGACTTTTCTCTGAGTAGCTCCCTGTTTCTACTCATTCCTTCCACATTGCAAACCCAGCTACAAACAAAAGGATTTGTGATGGTGTGCCCTCAGTAGTTTATTTAGGACCTATTATACTCAAGACTTGGACAGTATTTGTATGACAATGAGCAAGGAAACCTCAGTTCCTGCTACATAATTATTCTAGGAACTTAGGCTGAGATGCAGCAGGAGGAAGTAAACCTCCATTGACCAGGCATGGCACAAGCCTTCCTTGAAAGTTTTCTACAGAGTCAGAGTGTTTGAGAGCAGAAGTACAATGAATTCTCAAATCAAATTTCTCATAGTTTTGGCCTGTTCTCTGTGACCCCATTGCTAATGTAACGAAAAATTGAGACATGAACACTAGGGAGAAAAAAGTGAGGTTCTCTAGTTTAAAATAGAAAAATGTGGTTCCTATTCCACCCACGCTCACGTCAGAGGGCAGAGGTGAGTTCCAGATCGCCATCCTAGCCAAAAATTCCTCCAAATCTCCCTCGTTTTGATCTCCAGGCTTGTGGACCACAGCCAGGTCAACTCTCCCCTGAACAGACCATCAAGTAACCAGGAGCCTGCAGAGAGCGCCAGTCTACTCGTGCACCACTCACATCAGAGGACATAAGACAGAGAGCAGAGGCCAGGGAATATTGGATTTGCTTTCATCCATTGAATGGGAACCCTGGTCACCCACCCACCAGGAGAGAAGAGGCTCTTTGTACATATACTGGAACAATTGATGGGAAAAAGGAAACATATGAAAACACCCAGTAACCAAAAAAATATTACAACACCACAGGATAGAGATTCTACACCAGCAACACCTGCAGAACTGAACACCCCAAAACCTGAAGCAGAAGGAATGACTTTAAACCAACTTCATTATAATGTTAGAGACCATCAAGTATATTGGAACATCCCTTAAAAAAGGGAAGAAAAAACTAACAAAAATCCAAAAAATGCAAGAAAGAGAGGAAAACGTGAAGCAAAAATTACACGAAACAATTCAATCAGTACAAGGTTTGAAGGCTGACTTGGAGACTTGAAGGAATGCTGGAAATAGAAAACTGGTCAAATGGTCAGGTACTACAGATGCAAGTATAACCAAGAGAATACAAGGGATGGAAGACACACTAGTAGAAATAGATTCATTGACAAAAGAAAATATTAATTCCAACAAATCACTAAGTCAAAACATCCAGGAAATATGGGACACCATTTAAAGACCAAACCTAAGAAGAAAACCAATTTAAAGGGGCAGAAAACATATTGAACAGGGTCACAGAAGAAAACTTTCCAAACCTAAAGAAAGACGTACCAATGAATGTACAAGAATCTTACAGAACAGCAAGTTGAGTAGACCACAAAAAAGTCACCTCCACATATAATGATCAAGAACCCAAGCATACAGAAAAAAGAAAGAACACTTAGCACAGCTAAATAAAAAAGTCAAATACCATAAACAGCAAACCTATTAGAATTACACCTGGAATCTCCATGGAAACTCTGAAAGCCACAAGGTCCTGGATGAATATTCTATCAATATGAAGAGACCTCAGATTCCAGCACCGACTGCTATACCCAGAAAAGCTTTCAATCAATATAGATGGTGAAAACAAGACATTCCATGACAAAACCAGATTTAAACAATACATATCCACTGACCCAGCCCTACAGAACGTTCTTGAAGAAATACTCCAATCCAAGGGAGTTAACTACCACCAGAAAAACATGGGCAATAGATAATCCCATTATTCCAACAGCCAAAAGAGAAAAGGCATGGAAATCCACATACAATCTCACCATCAAAAACATTCCAAAACAAACAAGAATGAGCAATCAAAGGTCATTAATATTCCTCAATATTTTTTTTTTGGTTTTTATGAGACAGGGTTTCTCTGTATTGTTTTGGAGGCTGTCGGTCCAGCCTGGCCTCGAACTCACAGAGATCCGCCTGCCTCTGCCTCCCGAGTGCTGGGATTAAAGGCGTGTGCCACCACCGCCCGGCAATATTCCTCAATATTAATGGTCGTAACTCACCCATAAAACAGCATAGGCTAACAGAATGGATTCGAAAAAAGAATCCTTCTGCTGCATACAAAAACACCTCAGTTTCAAAGACAGATGTTACCTCCGAGTTAAGGGTTATGAAAATGTTTTGCAATCAAATGGATCCAAGAAATAAGCAGGGGTAGCAATCCCATTATATAACAGACTAGACTATAAATGGAAATCAGTCAAAACAGATGAAGGAGGTCATTTTGTATTCATCACAGGAGAAATCCACAAAGATGAAGTCTCAATTCTGAACAACTATGCCCCATACACAAAGGCATACACAAATATTACTAAACCCCAAACCACGCATAAAACTTCACACACATATAGTAGGAGACTTCAACACCCCACTGTCACCACTAGACAGGATTACCGGACAGAAACTAAACAAAAAATCATAGGAGATAATAGAAGTTATGACTCAATTGGGTTTTACAGGCAACTACAGAACATTCCATCCAAACAAAAAAGAATATACCTTCTTCTTAGCACCACATGGAACCTTCTCATAAATCGACAACATACTTGGCAACATAGCAAACTTCAACAGGTACAACAAAATTGGAATAACTCCACAGATCTTATCAGACCACCATGCTTTAAAGTTAGAATTCAACAAGAATACAAATTGCAGAAACCCTACAAACTCATTGAAATTGAATAATATGCAATTGCACCAATCCTGGGTCAGAGAAGAAATTAAAAAAAAGAAATTAAAGACTTCCTAGAATTCAGTGAGAATGAAGACACAACATAATCAAACTTGTGGGACACTTTCAAAGCAGAGCTAAGAGGAAAGTTCATAGCACTAATGCCCACATGAAGAAACTGGAAAATAGTCACACTAGAGAATTATCAGTACAACTTAAAGCTCTAGTACAAAAGGAAGCAAACTCACCCAGGTGGAGTAGATGCCAGGAAATCATCAAATTGAGAGCTGAAATCAATAAAGTAGAAACTAAGGGTCAATGTAACGAAGAGTTGGTTCTTTGAGAAAATCAACAAGATAGACAAACCTTTATCCAAACTCACCAAACAGCAGAATGTGTGCAAATTTAAAACTTAGAAATCAAAGGGGGGGCATAACAACAGACACAGAGGAAATACAGAGAATCATCCGGTCATACTTTGAAAACCTGTACTCCAAAAAAATTCGAAAAATTGAAGGAAATAGACAACTCTCTGGATAGATATCACCTGCCAAAATTAAATCAAGAAAAGATAAACAATTTAAATAGATGTATAGCCCCTAAGGAAGTAGAAACACTCCTCAAAATCCCCAACCCCACGCAAAAAATGGCCTCAGTGCAGAATGCTACCAGAAAGTAAAAAATCAGCTTATACCAATTCTCCTCAAATTATTCCATGCAATAGAAGCAGAAGGGTCTTTGCCAAACTCTTTTTCTGAGGCTTCTATAACCTTGATACCCAAGCCACACAAAGTTACAACTAAGAAAGAGAACTTCAGACCAGTATCTCTCATGAACATTGATGCAAAAATACTCAATAAAATACTGGCAAATGGGATCCAAGAACACATCAGAAATCTCATCCACTATGATCAAGTAGGTTTCATCTCACGCATGCAGGGATGTTTCAACTTACAAAAATTTCATCAATGTAATTCACCATTTACACCAGTTGAGAAACAAAAATCACATTATCATCTCACCAGATGATGAAAAAGCATTTGATAAAATGCAACACACCTTCATGATAAAGGTCTTGGAGAGACTGGGGATAACAGAAACATACCTAAAAATAATAAAAGCTGCATACAGCAAAACAAGAGCCAACATCAAAGTAAAATGAGAGAAACTCAAAGCAATTCCTCTAAAATCAGGAACAAGACAAGGCTGTCCACTCGCTCCATACCTCTTCAATATTGTACTTGAAGTTCTAGCCAGAGCAATAAGACAACAAGAGGATATCAACAAAGTGGAAAGAAAAAGGTCACCATTTCAATATTTGCAGATGATATGATAGTTTACATAAGGGCGCCAAGAAACTCTACCAGATGATAAACAACTTCATGAAAGTAACTGGACACAAGATCAACTC